CCCCGGAGCCGCGGCCTCGCGGAGTGCCCAACCGCCCGGCGCCCAGGCCTGGGGAAGCGCGAGCGCCGAGCCCTCGGCTGGTGAGTGCGCACCGCCCCCACGGGGTTTCTGCCCCGATCCCGCCTCCGGCTCGTGCCCTAGAGCTCCAGGTCGCCGACCCGGGCACCGGAGAGTGACTCAGCGCTAGGAGGGTGGCGAGTTGCGGGGGCCGGAGATTCGAACTGTTCGGGGCCTTGAATGCCGGGATGAGTGGGGTGGACGCGGTCCCCGGAGCTGGTCCTGGAGCAGTGCCGGAGATTGGGGCCGGGCTGGGGTGGACGGGAGAGGGCCGGACTCGGAGACCAGGGCAGGGCGGGAGAAGCCACGGCTGCACCGCCTTGCCCTGGCCAGGGCCACGGTGCGGGGGCGGGTCCTGAGCTTCTGACCCAGCTCCCCGCCTCAGGACACCAAGATGCCTGGCGAACAGCAGGCAGAGGAGGAGGAGGAGGAAGAGATGCAGGAGGAGATGGTGCTGCTGGTGAAGGGTGAGGAGGATGAGGGTGAGGAGAAGTATGAGGTGGTGAAACTCAAGATCCCCATGGACAACAAGGAGGTACGTGTCACACACACCGTGGGGCCTACTGCCCCCCAGACTGGTCCAGGCCCAGCCTTCCTCACAGAAGCCAGCGATCCTGCCCCTACTTTCCCCCGAATCTCAGAGCTGGAACCTCAGGGTTGGCCCATCCTTCTGCCCCACTGCCCGGGCTTGGAGAAGTCATGCCTACTGTGCCAGGCTCTGCTGGGTGCTGGAGAGGGAACTCCATCCTTGGACTTCCCTGGAGCTTGAGGTCTAGCCGGGTTAGTCTGATGAGCAAGCACACAGTCGGAATCCCAAGTGATGGGAGCAGGCGTGGGGCTGGCAGAGGGGGGTGATGAAGCCCAGAGGTGGGAACTTAATTCAGACTTAGGGGTGGGAGGAACAGTAACAAGAGCTGACTCTTGCACAGCATTTACTATGTGCCAGACACTGTTCTAAGCACCTCAGTCCTAGGATGTTGGTAGTATTTATTCCATTTTGCAGGTGAGGAAACAGGCCCAGAACAGTCGAGTAACGGACTCATGGTCTCAAAGTCAGTAAAGGGATGGCTTATGTGAGTCTGAGGGCTGAAGTCTGAGCCTCTAAAAGGGCCACTTATGCCCCAAGCAGAGAAATAAATGGCCCTTTTAGAGGCTCAGAGGAGTGAGTGGGGACTGCAGGGGTGAAGGCAGGTGGGCCGGTCCTGCTGTAGCGTTGATGAGGGTGGGTTGGTTGGCAGGCCATGGAGGAAGGCTGGGTTTTATCCTGAGAGTGTTTGAAGGTTTTAAGGTGAAGACCCTGACTGCCACTAGGTATGTTTCCACTTTCCAGAACCCACAGGATTCTGCCTGAGCAGCTCTGAGTCCCACTGAAGGGTGGCTCCAGCTGGCCCAGCTTTCAGGCTCCCGAGGACTTCTTCCTGCACGGGGGCCAGTTCCCTGGGAAAGAAAGTTCTGCTGCCCCCTAGTGGGCATGGTGGGTCCTTGGGGCAGGGGACTTTGCTCCTTAGGCTTCCCCTTCCTTAGGCTTCCCCTTCCAGGTTCTATTTCTCTCTGGGCTTCTTGGTCCATCATCCCAGCTCAGCCTGCCTGTTCTGGTCCTGTGGATCCCCTGATCTCTGCCTTTAGCTTATAAATTAAGAACACAGACTCCAGAGCTTAGCGTGGACTTCAAACGCTACTACCTACCAGCTATGTGAACTTGAACAAGTTTCTTAACCTCTTTATGCCTCTGTTTCCTCATTTGTAAAAGGGAAGTTACAGCAGCACCTGCTTCTGGAATTGTGAGGGTTGAATGAGTTAACACGTCTGGCACATAATAAACATTATGTAAACAGTGGCTGTTATTATGTATTCTTCCTAAAGTGTAGGACCTTGGGCTAGGTCATCCTTCTGGAGGCTTTTCAACCCATTTTTATCGAAGGTCTTTCTGAGCTGAACCTTGAGGACTGGAGTTGAACAGGAAGGCCGACATGGAGGCATAGAAAGAGGACTGAGGGCAAACCACTCAAGGCAGTGGGAAAGTCTTCATGGCGGAAAAGATTTTTGACTTGGGCCTTGAAAGGCTTAGTGGGGGACTGGCAAATGGAGGAGGAGGAGGAAGGGCATTTCAAGAGGAGGAAACAGCAAACACAAAGCCTTGGAGGAGATGAGACTAGAAAGGCAGGAGGGGCCAGAGAGTAAGAGGCCTTGAAGCCAGGGTGGGACGTACTGTGTTAGGGGACGTGGTGCCATCAGCAGCCTTAAATCAGATGAGGGACAGGACTGGATTTTCTATTTAGCAGAATCACCGGCTACTATGGGAGGCCAGACCAGGTAAGGCTGGTAGCCTGCTCTAAGGTAGTAGCAGCAGTGATGGAGAGAAGGGGCTTGTAGGAACCCCTGAATAGCCTGGCTAGAGGTGATGGGTGTGAGGTGAGGGTGGGTTAACGTGACTAGTCATGAGAGGTGTGTAGGGTCATGAGAGTTATGTAGGGCCAGACTGTGAAAGGTATCATGTAGCAGCCAAATCTTACCCACACCACTGACTTACTTTGCTTTGGCTTTCTCATCTGTAAAATGGGAAAATGAAGTAAGATCCTTGAATGCCAGTCTGAGAAGTATCATCAGGGTGACTAGATTTGGAGGAGGAAGATGGAATCGAGGATTACACACAATATCCCATGAACATTTAGCACTGCCCACAAGATAGCTCGCCCATCTGCTTGGCTACCCTCTCCCTCACCTCCCCCTCAGCCTCATTTCTTTATTGATGAAATGGTCATCTCGAAAGCACCTTCCAAGTGCTGACATTTGGTGACTCCAAGCTATCGCCCAGTCTCACAGCCAGTCACTGTTCAGAATAGGCCTTAATTACATGCACTCAGTGGCTGGAGTATTCTCTTTCTGCCTATCAAAATCCAGTCTATCTTTAAGAATAGAAAAGATTTTCTTAGAGGGCTCTATGTGCATCTAAACCTGTCTTTCCCTGGCTTGAACGCTTGAGTGGCTTTGTTTCCCTCAAGATGAAGTCTCTGCCCCTGAGCCTGCCATTCAAAGCTCTTAGCCACGTGACCTCATTTCATTTTGGCTTCATCTACTCAGCACCTATACCATGCCCCAGCTTCAGACAAACCTGACTCGTTCTCACCTCTGAGGTTTTGCCCATGCTGTCTCAGCCTGTAAAACCCTTTGTCCCTTTTCTACCTGCTTTCTCCAGGAATAGCTCTTCTGTCTTCTAAATCAGTTTTCTTAATTTTTTTTTTTTTTGAGTTGGAGTCTCACTCCATCGCCCAGACTGGAGTGCAGTGGCCATTCCCGGCCACCGCAGCCTTGCCCTGCTGGGCTCCGGCGATCCTTCCGCCTCAGCCTTCCATGTAACTGGAACTACAGGCCTGCGCTACCACGCCCAGCTAATTTTTGATTTATTGTAGAGATGAGGTCTCGCCAAGTTGCCCAGGCGG